AGGGAATTTGGGGGGAAAAGGGGGAATTTGGGGGTTTCAGATTTGGGATAATTGGGGAATTTGGGGGTTTGGGATTTGGGGGGAAAAGGAGGAATTTGGGATTTGAATGAAAATCAGGGAATTTGGAAAAATTGGGGGTATGGGATTTAGGGGAATTTGGGTGAAAGTCCAGGAATTTGGGGGTTTGAAATTTGAAAAATTGGGGGATTTGGGAGGAAATGGGGAATTTGAGGGTATGGGATTTGGAAAAATTGGTAGATTTGGGGGTTTGGGATTTAGGTGAAAATCCAGGAATTCGGGGGTTTGAAATTTGGAAAAATTGGGGAATTTGGGGATTTGGGGCGAAATGGGGAATTTGGGAGTTTGGAATTTGGGGAATTTGGGGAGAATTGGGAAATCGAGGAAAAGGAGACAAGGCATTGGGGGAAAGCGGGGTGAAAATCGAGGAAATTGGGAAAAAGAAAAACCAAAAAAAATTAGAAAAGTATAAAAAATTAAATATAAAGCCAAATAATGTTGAAAAAACCCCTGAAAAAGCCCCGCCCCTTACCTGAAGCTCCGCCCCCTCGGTGCTGGCCCCGCCCTCCAGGGGGCGGAGCTTGGCCAGGGCGGCGACGCAATGGGGGTGGTGGGGCGGGGCCCAGCAGCGCAAGGCCTGATGGGAAAAGGGGCGGGGCTTAGCGGGGTGGGGCCAAAGGGGCGGGGCTTAGGTGGGGCTAAAAGGGGCGGGGCTTAGCGGGGTGGTGCCAAAAGGGGCGGGGCTTATGTGGGGATAAAAGGGGCGGAGCTAAAACTGGGTGGGGGTAAATGGGGTGGGGCTAAAAGTGGGTGGGACTAAAATGGGTGTGGTTAAAGAGGGTGTGGCTAAATGTGTGGAGCGTAGAGGGGGCGTGGCTAAAAGTGGGTGGAGCTAATGAGGGTGTGATTAAAGAGGCGGGGCTAAAAGTGGGTGGGGCTAATTAGGGAGTAATTAAAGGGGTGGGGCTTAAACGGGTAGGCAAAAGGGGTGGAGCTAATGAGGGTGTGGTTAAGGGGGTGGGGCTAAAAGTGGGTGGAGCTAATTAGGGAGAAATTAAAGGGGTGGGGCTTAAACAGGGGTGGGGCAAAAGGGGGTGGAGCTAATTAGGGGGTAATTAAAGGGGTGGGGGTTAAACAGGAGTGGAGCTAATGAGGGAGTAATTAAAGGGGTGGGGCTTAAACAGGGGTGGAGCTAATTAGTGAGTAATTAAAGGGGTGGGGATTAAACAGGGGTAGGGCTAAAAGTGGGTGGAGCTAATGAGGGTGTGATTAAAGGGGTGGGGCTAAAAGTGGGTGGAGCTAATTAGGGAGTAATTAAAGGGGTGGGGCT